GTGATGTCTGGGAGAGGCTCCACATATCACACTGGAAAGACGGGAGAATGAGTTCAAAACAGTAAAAGCCTGTGATCAATGTTAGGCCATCAGCCAAATCTCCTCAACCCCCCTTCTGTTTCAGACATTTTCTCGTAGTCTTCTTTAACTTCACTCCCCAAATGTATCTATATTGCTTCCCCAAAGCTTCATGGTGAGAATCCAGTTACACAAATTCCCTTGACATGTGATGTATTTTTCCAGAGTTCTGGCACCTGCCATGGATCAGTTTGGGATGTTCTTATTTTTCAGACCTGTTCACTGGAAGAAACTGTCTATGAACTTCAGTTTCAGCTGAAGCACTGGGCTCCTGTGTATGTGGATCACGTTATCATTGTAGAGCAATTGGACCTTGACTTTGTACCCAACACAAGTACCATGGCTCTTCCCTGACCCCTGGCTCTGGCCCATCTTTCCACTCTCTCTCTACTGTTTCTGTCCTGTTTACACAGTGAACTGTGTGTGCCTGGGATTGTCTTTCACACTGCTTGTGTGTCCTGGGATCAGAATCTCTGAGGTGCTCTGTAGGCTTTTCTATACTGAAAAACAGCTCTCTATAGTTAACGCTGTGCCAAACACAGAACAGGGTAGGTGAACTTGGTGTTGAATGGTGGATTTATTTAACTTCCGACAACTTCAGGCACCTCAGAACTGGACAATACATCATTCTCCTCTTCAGTGAACGTGGCCAGAGCATGAGTAGGCACAGCTGCACAGACATGAAGTGATTGTTCAGCAGGGAGCTCGTGGCCATCGTGCTCCAGGTTGAGGGCAGCCTGCTGGGGGATGCTGCACTGGTCTGCAGGACCATAGAATCATAGAATCAGCTGGGTTGGAAGGGACCTCCAAAATCATCAAGTCCAACCCTTAATCCAACCCCGCCATGGTTCCCAGACCATGGCACTGATACCACATCCAGTCTCAGCTTAAAAACCTCCAGGGATGGAGAATCCACCACTTCCCTGGGCAACCCATTCCAATGGCTGAGCACCCTCTCTGCAAAGAAATTCTTCCTAATATCCAACCTAACCCTCCCCTGGCACAGCTGAAGACCCAGCCCTCTTGTCTTGCTGAGAGTTGCCTGGGAAAAGAGACCAACCCCCCCTGGCTCCCCCCTCCTGTCGCAGAGAGTGAGGAGGTCTCCCCTGAGCCTCCTCTTCTCCAGGCTGGGTCCCCCCAGCTCCCTCAGCCTCTCCTCACAGCACTTGTGCTCCAGTCCCTTCCCCAGCCTTGAACCCTCCCCTGGTACAGCTGAAGACCCAACCCTCTTGTCTTGCTGAGAGTTGCCTGGGAAAAGGGACCAACCCCCCCCGGCTCCCCCCTCCTGTCAGGGAGTTGCAGAGAGTGAGGAGGTCTCCCCTGAGCCTCCTCTTCTCCAGGCTGAGCCCCCCCAGCTCCCCCGTTCAGCCTCTCCTCACAGCACTTGTGCTCCAGTCCCTTCCCCAGCCTTGTTGCTCTCCTCTGGACCTGCTCCAGCCCCTCCATGTCCTTCCTGAGCTGAGGGCCCAGAACTGGACACAGCACTCCAGGGGTGGCCTCACCAGTGCTGAGTCCAGGGCAAGAATCACTTCCTTGGACCTGTTGGCCACCCTGTTCCTGATCCAGGCCAGGATCCATTGGCCCTCTTGTCCCCCTGGGCACACCCTGGCTCCTGTTCATCTCCCTGGTTTGTCCCTACCACCTTAACAGAAAGATGTCTTGTCCTCTGCCTGGCCTGTGTCAATTGTTCAGACTCAAAACCTGGCTGCAGTTGTGCTTCTTTGCTCCTTAATTAGAGAACTCCAGAGAGGAGATCCTTGGTGAAGGGAGGACCTTGGTCAGGAAGGACTACTGAGTTAGAGAACTGTATTTAAGCTGTCTCAGTTTGGGCTGAACTGCTCAGGATTCTGTTAAGTTACTGGCAGAGTCATTCTTCACAGCTGTCAGCCCTTATCTGTTCACTAGAAGGATCATTAATACAGCTAAAATGGAGCATCTGTCACTCTTGTGCTAACAGGCAGCATACTTCCCATAAGTTCTATTTAAAAGCAGCTGGGTTCAGATTATTTAGTGTTTGCTTCAAAGAACAGTAAAACTTTACTACATTACCCTTTTGTTACTGTTATGAGCTCTTTCAAAAAGTTCTGCACCATACATTTGTCCAGACAAAGTGACGTGCATTTTCTTGCTACTGTGTGTCAGGATGAAGCAAAGGAATGGCAAAATAATGAAAGCTAGGAAGATGACCGAGTATCAACCACATTTTAATTGCACAGTTAATAAAAACAGGTTGCCGTAACTCAAAGTCTTTTGCTGTTATGCTCAAAAACAGTGTGAAAATCTGGATAGGAAAAAAAAATCAAGACATGAAATGTCTTCAAGGAGCTGTTTTATAAATGTTTGAGTTACATCTAACCTATTTAGCTGAATACTGCACTCCTCTGGAATTTAATGTTGGTGGAAAATAGTCTGAAGAGCATCCAAACATCCTCTCTAACCATAATGATTTTATAAAACCCAGCTTATTTTGTCAGTTTTTAACTGATGACTTTCCCAGTCCTGCAGTAAGGTTTCTCTAGTCCTTGTTATAATGTCATTTCTCAATTTCACAGGTATTTCAGTTTGTTTGTTTGGGTTTTTTTGCTTATTTCTTCCTTTTAATTTCTCTTGTAATCTTCAAGGTAAAGAATATATTTATATTTTTGGTTTGAAATTGCCAGAACCATTTTCATCTTGGAGTCTGCTCCAGCTTCTGACAAGATTATTACTTGACATCTAGATTTGAATTTTCATGTTATCACACTCTATTTTTGCTGGTTGACTCTAGATTATACTTGTTTCTTGGATATGGTTTCTGTTCTGGGTGGTAATTTACAAAAAACCTAGGTAGATTACCCCTGCAAAAGTGATGCTGTTTGTATCAAAACATGTGGCTAGTATTTAGAAAAATGACGATTAACTTGCCCAAAGTCCTGAATCTAGCACTGTGGAAACTGAGCCTGAAATAATTCATCTAGACACTAGAGGCAAAATTGCAAAGCTCAGAGGAAAGTGGCTTAACTTTGGAAATTTATTTTCAGAACTCGTCTTGGCCTTGGGCTGGAATAGATGTAGTCCATAAAAAATAAGTTCCTTTTTATTATTTTCAAGAGATGATTTTAGGGTGTTCTTGGCTTGATAGGGACCTATTCTGAAGAATTCTTAAGTGACCACATAACCACACAAGTGCAATGAGAAACTCAGATGGAAATCAATTCCCAGAACATCTTTCTTTTCCTGGCTCTCTATGGGTTCTCCTTACCCTGACTTACTTTATGAGGAGAGTAAAAGAAGGATCTTGACTATGTGAGAAGTAAAGAAAAGCTTATTCCAGGGGTACAGTTTTAATTTTTAAAATACACCAGCTCTGACCCCTTCTGTTTTGCACCTTTTACAATCACTTACACAAGGAATGAGGGAATGCAAAATGCTTCCCTTAGCTTAGTTCAGCCAAAATGGTATAAAACCCAAAGCTGTTTGATGACAGAGTTCAGGTAGAGCTTCACTAGGCACCAAGCACAGGCAGATGATGTGGGAATTGAACTGTGTTAACTGGCATTTTCCAAGAAATCTATCAATTTTTTTACTAAAGCCCGACATTAAGTCATGTGCCTACCTGGTAATTGTTTATTTAAGCACAGCTTTATTGCAGTGATACTGTTAGCCTTCATATTCACTTTGAAAATTGTTTAAGAAAAAGAATAAACTGAAGAACATGAGTTTGGTAACTTTTTTCAGGTGCTTGGCAAACTCTGCTCTCACATTTGGTGACATAAGCTGCTGATGTCTTGATTTTTGAATAAGTAATCCAAGGTCATTTTTTTTTTTTTTAACATGCTTTCATGGATTTCTCAGGCTTCCCAAACATTATTTACATATTTAAATTCCCATAATAAATTTTGGCCTTTGGAAACCACAAAAACGGATAAAGAGATAAAAAAATTAGCATTTCGAATTTTTGTGTTGATTTAAAAGATGTGGATATTCTAAATATTTTAGAATATTTTTAGAATATTTTAGAACATCCACTTCCTGTTCCCTACTTGCCCCACTGGCAATTCAAATCCTCTTTACTCTGAAACAATATGAATTACCAGAGAAGTAGTGAAACGGACTTACAAAAAGGGACTAAAAGGTTATGCAATTCAGGGAAGAGTTTTTTTAGCGTGCTCAAAACAACTCATTTTGCAGTACATTACCCGAAGCACTCTGATGACAACAAAGCAGTCATCCTAAAAAGGAAGTGATTTGATTACACCACCGGCTGAAAGGCTTTGATATTGCTGGAGGAAATGCCACATTTCCTAATGAAGCGTTAGGAGGCGAACTAGAAACATTTCTGACTAATGACAAATGTGGGAGAGGAAAACTGCCACCGTTCCGAAGGTACCGGTCGTTAAGGAATAAACGCTGGGTCTTGGAGGGAAAACGTGTTGGAGGAGAAAATGTGCTCATCACTTATGATGACAGACAGTTTTTAAAGTGCATCGAGCTACTCGGTGAAACAGATATGTCAATCTAGACAAGACAGATCAGGTACCAGAAGCAGTCTCAAAACTTCAAGTTATTTTATCCTTGCTGATAGAGTGTCTCAAGGTAGCTCATGTGGGTTAACTAAGTTAATGTGGGTTAATTAAATAGCTCTTGTAGGTGTCTCACAGAGACTGTTTGTCAGGACATATATTCACGACTTCACAGACTTTTAATAGGGCAGCTGGGATCTCTAATTCCCACAATTTAGGCTCCACTAATGACGTGAGATATGGTGGCATTGTCTCTGCATGTCCCATCTTCCTCATTCTGAGCTGGAGTCTGCTGTGTTAAAAATTAAAATCTCTATTATTCATTAAACAATCTAAATTCATTATATTACAGTCAGCCTATACAGAAACCTGAAATGTTGAGGAAATGCATTTGCTGAGCAAAACTGTGAAAGTAAACTCTTTTTCTAGCCATCTACAACTCAGTGAAGCATGATTTATTAGTGTTAAATACTTCAGAGTACTACCTTTTCCATTTATCAAACAATGGGATGGATGCATAATCTTAAAAGCAGCAATTGAGATTTCACATATGAAACTTCTAACAATGACAGTTAATTAATTATAGCTCATTTAAGCCACAAAGTAAAATTGACTTCAGCTTTTGCATCACACCATCACACTTTCCTACAAAATAATTTTCTTCCCCCCCCCTCCCTGCAGCATGTAATGGGTGTGGGATCTTCAGCTAGATGGGTCTTCAGGTTGGGTCCTCAACATCTTTATCCGTTTTTCCAGTCTCTCCATCCATTCATTTCTGAGCCTAGGGACAGAAACACGGATCAGCTTGTCCCCATATTCTTACAGGGAACAGATTTCGGTTCTTTTTCCCAGTTGTCATGCAAATCGTCCTGCCCCTGCGGAGTTCTTTGCTGGATAAATCCGGGTGAGGGCTCCCCTGAGCTCTGTGTTTCATTGTCGCCTCTCCATCGCCTGTGTGCCAGAGGGGTTTGTCACCCGCCCTGGAGATCTCCTGCCACCTGCTGGGTCACAGCACCCAGCACCTCCCCGGTCCCCTCCTCCTCCTCAGCGCTACCCAGCTGGGCTTGCTCATGTTCAGACTTCTGTTAGACCCACAACAGACCCCTTCAGGTGACAGCTGGCACTTTGCTTTCCTTTTGGAAGTTTCTAGGTGCCACAGAAAGACTTACTCAAATAGAAAAGGAAGGAATTTCCTGAGTGAGGAGGTGAAGCATTGAGATCAGGTTTGTTGCAGATGGATAAAACATGCTAGAGACTCATTCCAGCGTTCCTCCATCCAGGGTTGTTAATGTAAGACCCTCCTTGCTTTTAGTGTTCAAGCATCAGTGCAGAGAGGTATGAGAGAGACTCTGAGAAAATGCTTTCTCACTGAATGATCTCCAGCCAAAATAACTATAATAAATAACTAAAATATATATCTTTGTATATGCCTTCCACTTGCAGAGACATAATGAGAAGTAGAAGTACTGATCTGTTTGCAGGCTGGTCTTTCTCACTGTGATTGATTCCAGTAAATGTGACTGACTGAGGTAAATATGGCTATGAATGGTGGTTGCCTTAGTCAGTTAGTATGCTTGGATTGTCTGCTTTACAATGGAATTACCCTACATAAATAAAACAGTCCTAAATAATTCAGACTATTTTTATGAAAAAAAGCCACAGGGAAGGAAGGTAGGCCAGGTACTCTGCTCTGAACATAAGCCTTTATGTTCAAGACAAGCCTGCACTGTTAGATGTTGTTCTGACAACTCCAGAAAGTTCAGTGTTTTGGGCCCATTATTCTCCTATCCCGAGAAGTCACAGCTTAGACACATTAACCATGCCAATTTGGGAAGCTCTACTATTTTCCATAGATCAAAACGACTTTCTGATTTCGTCGCATGACTTAAGTATAGGTATCACTTTTCCTTAAAAAACCCCAAACAGTTACAATGCAAAATCAAATAACCTTTCTGGGTGCAGATTACCCACTTTGTCAGAGCACTTCTTCGCTGACGTTCCTTCTCGTTTTGCAGGTACCGAGTTTGTTGCTCGATGGTCTTTTCCCAGAAGTTCCTCAGGTCACTGGTCTCACATCCCCGCACCTCGTGCCTCATATATTGGCTGTTCATTTTCTCTAGGGGAGAAATTTGAAACGACCACAGGACAAGTTACTGGTTCCTCATCCATTTTCATGGCTGTAGCACACTCTGGATGTTTTGGGCTTTCATAGCATTAGGGCTACACAGTCCCTGTTTTAGCAGGAGCAGGATGAGTGGGAATGACACTATTTAAGCTTTTCTTTTGTAGCTCTGACACTCGAGGGTGTGCTGTCCACAGTGATCTGAGTTCCTACTCCTTCACCTAAAATATCTCTCACTTACATCTGAATGTGACCTTTAAGATCACAATCCAGGATGGTTCTGTTGTATTCGCTGATTTAGCCATTAAGGTACCTTTTCCTGTACTCAAAAATAGAAGGAAAATATAAAAATTGGCACATCTATTGGGGTTTTTGGCCTCACTGTTTTCATGTGCATCAAATGATGAAGTGACTATTGTTCTGGTAACTTGCTGCTAATCATTCTAACACTTATCATCTTCATTTGGAAATGGAGAAAATTTGTATGTATTAAAGTATGTACATAATTTCATAGCATGCTGACTCACAAAAGCCTTCTTACTTGCTAAATATTTTACCCTCTTCTACAATTCTCAAAGTAGAGCCAATTTGTTTAATATATTTATATATTTGTGACAATTGTGTACTTTCCCCTCTATTTAATGTCATCTTAAAAATAGATTTTGGAGTGAATCTTGTCCTAGGGAAAGAATATCTGTCTCAGGATGACTTTTCATGGGCTAATAGTCAATTCCCTCTATCCCACATCGCAGCCAGGAAATCATTTCATTATTTTCAAAACTTCATTAAATATGGAATTAGTATATCCATGCTGCCTTTCAAATTGCTGTGTGGTTTTGCATGAACGTGCCATTATTATATTTTCCAGAACATTTAATTTTTTTAACAAGTATTTAGGGCTCTCTCATGCATTGTTTGAATCCATGGCAATTATTTGTAATTTATGTTAATCAGAGCCATAGGGAGATAGTAAACAAGCCCCTCAAGGCTAGCTTGGAAAAGCTTGACGAAATTGCAGCCATTCCCCTGCCAGGCATCATAAGAAAATAGAAAACTGGGAACTGATAATCTTCAAATAATTTCAGTTGGCTGTTTTGTGAAAAATTGAGAGACACATTATAAAGACTCTGTGAGCAGAGGACAAAACCAGCCCTTCTGAAGAGGTCCCTTTTCTTGTTGGGATTTCCCTGTGACTTCACGGTGGTTCCCCGTAAAACCTCCATATGCTAACTCATGGCCTCCATATGATAGAAGCACAGTACCTGAGCCTGAACTTTGCAGAAAAAAAAATTACTGCATATTTTCAGGTCCTGAACAAATTACAGCTGGATGTGTAAGTGTTGACATTAGTCTGAAATGTGAATTGCAAGTATATCTCAAGCTGTGCTATGGGATAACCAATTCCAGGTCAAAAAGTTCATTTAATACGAGTATGGGTTTTCATAAAACATATGTATTCTATAAATATCCACATATATATCAATGCTAACCCAAACAATTCTTTCCAGGTGGCAGTTACTACCCTTTCAAACCTTTTGTGTACCAGGGACAATCTACAAATGTATGAAAAATGTATGGTAACAGCCATCTGGGTAAGACTAATGGACTTTCCACTCTAGGAGTTAATCTCTGAGAATAACTCTTTCTGGAGATCAGAAAGCAAAGTTCCCATACATCTCTGGGGCTCTGAAATAAATTGCCAGGAAATAATGTCTCCTGGTTTCTTTATCAGAAGAGATACCAAGGCATAATAACTTCATCCCTCTGAATTATTATGTATTCTTGTTTAATACCCTGTGGATGTGTCTTTTATATATATATATAAATATATATTTATATTACATATATATATATATATATAAAAGGGTAAATATTACTCCTGAATAAGGCAAAGTTATGGAACTCATTGCTTTAAGGTATAATTGAGCCCATTCATATACTTTCAGAATACACATATTGTTTACTGGTTTTAAATGCTCTGCCTCATGGTTTGGTTGTATTATATATAAATTCTTGATGCTGGCTTGAATGTATTTTATAGATGTGACCTGCCCCTACAGCAAAAAATCCCAAGGAAAAATTGTAAAGCCAGTAAAAGAGATATTCAGAATTAGTTTCTCTTGCTGTTCACCTCACATCTGGTGCTGGCATTATTTAGAAGAATGTTAGAAATCTGTAGAGACTACAAAGTGTGTATAATACTACCCACTAGGTAGTATTATAGGTAGTATTTAGGAGGTCTTCTTTTTTTTTTTTTTTTTGATAGGTATGGGGAACAGAATTAGTGCTTTTCTCTATTATCTATGATGTTTTCTTTCTGTGTGCTTGATGAGGCACACTAAGAGCATTGTCCAAGCCATCATTCCTTTGTAACCTTTTATATTGTGTTAACATATGGATATGATGGTGCTGAATTTTCTCTTCCTAAGTCTAAACATTCCTCTTTGTTTTCATTCCCCCTAATTCTGGAGAACAACTATGGGCAAATATCAAAGTTACTGAATGTCGAATTTCTGCATCGTTACTTTGCTGATCCTTATATGTCCTTGATAAACACCAGTGTGTAAATGTGCCAGCATCTGCTTCTCTGAACTGTAGAATCACCCTACCCTAAATTGCTTTGTGTTTCAAACTGTCTCTTTGAGCCTGTTCACATGGTGATTGCAGGAACCGCACAAAAACCCCACTGAAGTAACTCACCTGGTTTCTTTTGCCTTTATGTTGGAATTCCCCTCTGTCCTGCCATCCATTCCAAAACTGTTGCCATAAACCTGTGTGTGAGCAACCAGGGATATCAAACCTGGTCTATCAGTGTGTCACTAGTTCTCAGTGGCAGGAATTCTTTATATTCCCTCCTGCTTCAGCTTTCTGCAGAGGAGAGCTACACGACTTAAGCCTGTTATTGTGGCTTTGCAGTAGCTGTTATCACCTGGAAACAGTTTATTTTCATGCTTAGGAGCCTCATTCAAAGTAGTCAGGATAAGGGACCTCGTGTAATAGGGAAAGAGAAGAATAGAAAGACGTCATGGAAGCAGCCTCCAAATCAGCCTGAACAAATAAACTCTGTGTATGGTACAATAATGGGCAGAAATACCCTGTTAAAGCACATAGGCAGTTGTGATGCACTTTTATAGATCTTGCAGTTAGTTCTGACTTCAACTCCCCTGCCTCAGCTAGGACTAAATGAAGCTTTATTTAAGCCTCTAGTGACAATCCTTCCAGAGGACAATAACGAGAGGCTCTTCCTGGTAATCTTCTCTGACAGAGCCCTGGTTGCAAGCCAGTGAACAAATGTAGCTGCTCTCAAACAAAGGGAATAACACAATAAGCTTTGGGAAGGTTTTATCCAATACATGATGAAGATGATTGCTTATTTTTTCATTTAATAATTTTCCAGGGGGTTGATATTATTTAGGCTCAATTTGCTAAAGGGGATCTTACAAAGTTGGGGGAGCTGCGATACTGTCACTGTTAGCCGGAACTCAAAAATTATGCTGGCAGAACAAAATATCAATTTGATCTGACATGTTGATTTTTTGGTAAGAAAAAAAAAATCAATAGTTTGAGGCCAAAACCTCATACTAATGAGAAACCATTAACACCATCAGAAACACATTTTTTCATGGAGACAATTGGGAGTCAAAAGTTTCTTAGCTAGAAAATGGTGTGTAAAGAAAAGTGTGAATTTTCTTCCTGTAGTAGAACACAGATTGTTATATGAAATGTTTTTAAAAATTTACAAAGCATGAGTCAAGAGAGGTATTTTTCTCCCTTCTTGTGCTTCTTCCAAAGCACAGTCAGAGCTCTCTCCCTAAAAATAATACAACATTGTATTCACCTGACTTTTCATGGACTTGCTTTGTGACCTGCTTATTATATAAATGCACTGGATTAACAAAAAATTGCATGATATATGAAAGAGTAGACTATCTACACTAATGATAATATTTGATGTTCAAACAAGAGAAATCTGCTTTGATTTTAGAAAACAGGACCAGCAATCACGGCCATGATTTCCCTCCTTTTCCTTGGGTCTTGGATATGTCATTCATCTCGTGCTCCTGCAGTTGGCAGCAATTCATATCTCAGAGGGCTGACTGAAGTTTCCTTGTGCTCCCCCCTGGGAAAGCATACCGGTTTCAAGTCTAACTTAGGTCTCCAGACTCTGGATAAAACTCTTGGGAGGCAGAAGGAAGCGCTTTGGTTGAGTTCCCTGTACCCTTCAGTCTGTGTGGCAGGTTGCACAGTGCAGTTTATCTCACAAACAGCCTGAGCAGCCTGGGAGAGGTTCCTCACAGCCTGCTCTGCCTGCCTCAGTGATGGGCAGCTACAGGAGGAGCTGATCTGCAGCACCAGCCTGAGGATGGGGGAAGGCTGGTGTGGTCTTCTGGCGCATGTAAGTCCCTGACACTGTGCTGGTCTCTTTGAAAAATTCATTAGTGTGTCTTACCAGCAAAGATGTGTGATTTTGCATGTGTGCTGTACTGTTCTGCTTTCATTTGCAGTTTGGCATTGCAGACTATCAATCAATGCTTTTCCTTTGTAAACAGCATTGCCTTGGGTTTGCAGTGAAATGAGGGTATTCTAGGCAAGTGATTTATTCTGCAAGCAGTATTTCCTAGCTTGGCAGAATTTGAAGTACATGCTCTTAGCAGGATGTGTGATCAGTCAGTTCTCTGCATATAAACTTCAATCAATTTAATTGGACTTTTTGCATGTAGTGGGATTTTTCAGTGTATGGAAATGACAACTGTATTGACATGTGACTGGGTAATACTGGTAGGAGTTACAGGTGTGTGTCTAGCAAATCAATTCTAACAGACAAGTTTAACAGTCTAAATATGTAAGCTGAAATGTTTGCACCCAGGCACTATGTAGAAGTCTCTCTTCAAGCATTCTCTTGTTTCTAATTCCCATAGCCCATTATTGCTTTTCTGTGGAAAGCTGATGGGTCTGAGTCTATTTTTCTGATATAGAGAATAACTATTCTTCAACTACTTTGCACTGTAACAAAATTTGGACCTCTACTCATATGATAGCTTTATGACAAAGAAGTATATTAAGGCAAGGTTTGTGGTAGCTATGTGATTTTTGCATTACATACTGTTACACACTGCTCTCCACCTCCCATGCTAGTCCTCCAGCCTAGCCTGACTGATTCAGACCTCTGTTTTCAAACACCTTTCTGGCTGGCTTCCTCAGCTCTGTTGTTCCATTTGGAAAATCTCTCTCCACTTCTTGCTGGAGCTGTGTTTCATAGAATCATAGAATATGCTGAGCTTGAAGGGACCCATCAGAATCATTGAGTCCAGCTCCTGATCCTGTGCAGGACACCCCTAAGAATCACAACATGTGCCTGAGAGCATTTTCTAAACACTTCTTGAACTCTGTCAGGCTTGGTGCTGTGACCACTTCCCTGGGGATCCTGTTCCAGTGCTCAGCCACCCTCTGGGGGAAGAACTTCTCCCTGATATCCAACCTAAACCTTCCCCGACTCAGTTTCAGGCCATTTCCTCAAGTCCTGTCACTGGTCACGAGAATGAAGAGATGAGTATCTGCCCCTCCACTGCCCCTCATGGGAGTGTTAAAGAAGGCAATGAGGTCTCCCCTCAAACCAAGTGGCCTCAGCAGCTCCTCATAAAGGTTTGCCTCCAAACCCTTCACCATCCTTGTGGCCCTCCTGTGGATGCTCCCTAATATATTAATGTCTTTTTTATACTGTGCTGCCCAAGACTCCACTCCTGCAGGTCTCACTAGACAATCCCTGGAGGAACTTTCCATCAGCCCCTCTGCCCCCTCAGATCCCCCCACTCCCTACCCCTGGCTCCCACACCCCCTGCCCAGGGCACACACAGCCAGGACTGTGGTGGCAGTTGCACAGGGATGAGCATCAAGAGAACAGGCATTCCTTGTGCAGTACAGAATGTCCAGATGCCTTTCCTGAGCTTTCTGTAGATTTGTTCAACTTCTATTGACTTTTAATTTTCAGTATCTAAAGTATATTTAAAGCGGTCACAGTTTGCTTTTGAGATCAAATATTGTTCCTGATCATTAGATTTTCCCCACTGCCAGATACATTTGAAGTCTGCTCCTGTGAACTACTGAATTCATAAGATCAAGTATATAGAATAAATTAATATTTATTAGTCAAGGATCTTGAACGCGCTTTGCTTTGTTGTTTGATTTTTGAGTACAGGAAGACTCAATGGTCCAGGGTCAAAGAAGATAAATCTTGCCTGGGGCCCATGTTCTTCATTAGATCATCCAATTCAGAGAAAACATGCAAGAGAAACCTATTCTGATTCATGTGAAGGTGTCTACCACCTTAAAAAAGAATTAAAAAGTCTCTCGGTGGCAGCAGATCTCTGTTAAAAAACCTTTGAGAGACGAGTGTGTGTGTGAAACCTTGGCCACCATTTAACCCATCAGTTGAGAATGTACAGCCATATCTCTTGGTGTTTTGTTCAGGATTGTGACATGGAAATTATCCATAAATATTTTTTCTGTATCAATGCTACTCATCTTCCTCAGAATTCTGCTAAACTGGGCACTCTTCCCTGGCATTTTCCTCACACTCTCATCCTTCCTAGGACATAATTTTGTGAGAATTTAAGTTAGAGAACAAACACATTTCTTTTTGTCATTATTGCGGAAAACTCACTACAAAACCCAAATACTTCCTTACCTTTGGAGCTGGACTCCTCTTGCAAATAAATCCTCCGTGTGACACAAACAAATGAGGAGTATTACCACTGCAGCCCCGGCTTCTCCAGTGTCACAGGGCAGTAATGAAATGCATCCCTCGGTACTTTTTATTTGAAGTGGAGGTAACATAAATCCTTCATCATATCAAGGCTATTTTGAACAGAACCAGCAGCAAGATAAGATCATTTAATGAACTTTGCAGCCCCCTGCCTGAGATGACCATGAAACACAGGTCCCCTTGAGAGCATGCATCCCTCCCACACTGGCAGATACCTCAAAGAGCACGACTTGGCAAGTGATGAGCATTTTCTTTAAAATGCATGCTGGTGTTATCCATTTTAATAATCTTCCTACGAAGGTTGAAAAATTCCACACTACTGTCTTAGCTATAATGGAGGCTGAAATGGTGTGACAAATCACACTTGGTTTTGCTTTACAGGATGACTTACAGGAGTATGCAGTGCTCTGGAGCTGTTAATCTAAGGATGTGTGCTTGATTATGACCCATTGCACAGTCTGTTCTCTTCAAGGCAATTGTCACAGGAATTGTCTGTTTGGTTAGTGTCAGCTGATGAAATGCATCAGACCAGCACTAGTTTTACCGTTTGGAGTTGTCGTAACTCTATTACAGATGAACACTTCTCTCATCACATTTCATTTTCTGAGGAAAATTATTTTGCAGGTTTGGCTGACGACAGATACCTGCACGGATCTCAGTTTTCATTAAATCCATCTACATTGCTAATACACCATATGTGACTGCTGGCTTAAGTAGTACTTATACCACTGCTGATTATTTTAACCTTCCTTTGTTGTAATTTTTCAGACACCAAGTAGTAAAAGCAGCAGCCATTAGATGGATGCTTTCTGTAGTTCATATTTGCTTATTTATTTTTTTCTGCAGTCTGCTTTGCAGAAGAAAACCCCGTGCAAAACCCAGCAGCTGCAGCCTTTCTCTGTAAAGGAAAATTCCAACTATTTCCAAATACTCATGACTTCATGTAACTCCTTGAAAACAGTACCTATTAACATTCTCTAATGTGTTGTTCCATCTCATATGGTATGAAAACACAGAAATCAACTCTTCCCTCCACATGTGTGATAACAAAGGTACTGTGGTCTCAGAGATTTAGAACCCTTTTACACATGTGGCATTGAAAAAAGAAAACAACATATCACGAGTAAGGGTGACTGCTCTGCTTTTGGAAAACCAGCTCAAACTCTGGCTGGCTTTGGAGATCACAAATAAATACGATTTTCTGGGTGGATATTAGAATAATACGGTATTATAAAGAGAGGTTGATGCCCAGGCTTGGTGCAGCATTGATGCTGAGCACCACGATGTTGCAGAGCAGCATAAGTGCTTCCTTGCCATTATTTGACTCAGGGCTTGAGAAATTTTCCCTTCTCACTGAACACAGCTAGCCAAAATTGCAATGAATTCAAGGTTTGGTTTTGTTTTGGTTTGTTTAGTGTTTGTTTCTTTGGGTTTTGGGGTTTTTTTGGTGGAGGGGGTGGATTTGGTTGATTGGTTGGGGGTTTTTGTGGTTTTTTTTTTATGTTATAATGTAGGCAATACCTTCCATAAACTTTTGCAAAGATCTAATTTCAGGAGGGAGCTTCAGTGCCCAGGATCATCGGACCAGAACACGTATTTCTGCATGTCAGCCATTGTTTACTTCACAAGCAAGTCTCAGAGCTGCTTACCAGGACCTGCTTGTATAACAGCTCTCATCTCCAGTTTGCCAAAGTTCCCGCAAACACCTGCTTAATGTCGTTAGCAGAGGACACAGGAGAATCTGCAAAGTATCTGACAAAGTGTAAACCTTTGGGGGGCCTGAGCTGTTACCACCTGCAGCCATCAAATTCTGCCTTGATGCTCTGGCTGTGTGCTGCTGTCCACGTGTGGGAGAGTTGGAAACGAAAGTAGCAGTCAGCTCTTACTCTTATACAAGTAATCTTGGTACATTTAGCTGTATTTTGTCAGCCTGGCCCCTTCACTCTCTGTGCATTCTTAGACCTGACCCTAAGGAAGAGGAGGTGAAAGGAAAAGACGTTGTACAGAACCTACACAAGCTTGCCAATTAAGTGAACACCTCATGCCTCTTTTCTCTTTGGTGCTAGAGAAAATAAAATCCAGAGAGGTAAGTTTTATAAGCAGATGCTGTGCTGTGTTTTGGGGTAGCTTTTTTTTGTATTCACTGGGCATCTGGTACTCACATCCTTATAATTCTTGACTGATGCAACGGCAGTTAGAAAGTGAGGGGGGATTTCTGTTGCTATTGGACTTTGTCCTCCTTGGTCCAGGAGCAGGACAGGTCACAGCAGCCTTAGCAGCCTTCTCCAAGTTTCACAAATTGCAGAATGGAGCAGATGACTTAGATGGTAGGTGGGAGGAGTCTTCTTGGCTTAGGTGTCTATCTTCCCAGGAAAGCTAGTTGTTCACTGGTTTTCGTGCTTCTGTAAATATTTACAGTGGGAGGGTTTTAAAACTTGCCTTTGATAAAACCATCAGACTGGCTGTTCTAGTGCTCCAGAGTGAACCAGCAGGCAGGAGGCTCCCTGATGGACCAGGATGATGCAGTCAATGCCTCTGAGCAGGGGGTCTGGTGTTTCCCCATGCCCCTGTTGCATGTGCACTGATCTGAACCCTGCTTTGCGGCCTCCAGACCATAACTGGAGAAAACACAACCTGCTGAAAAGTTTTTAGTACTGCCTGCTGGATAGGACACTGAGTGTTGGATTTAAGTGTCTGAGACAACTGAAGGAGTCAATTTCACTGAGGTCTACAAAAGCATTTTTGCTCTCTTGGGCCAATCATTGGATTGGGCAGTGGGGACTTGTTTAAAGAACAGAAAAAAGTCAGGATTAAGTAGGAATGAGAATTCCTCTTTGTGTACAAGAATACCTTTTATCTACACTCTGGATTTTTCCTCGGAATGCATTCTGGATGGTGCATACTACACATCATTCATGACTATGAAATACTTTAGTTTTATTTATAATGCCACTTACAGGATAATCTCAAGGTCAGTAAAGTAGCAGACTGAAGAGCTGACATGTTTTATTAGCTGAATGAGACTTATTGATACCACTTACATGACACCCAAAACCTTTATAGAGATTGCTTAGTGTTTATTTTAATCATGATATTGCCTTTGTGACCGACCAGAAAAATTAGATATGTATGATCCACTAGTACCTTTTTCTAATTCTCCTGTTAATTGCCTGTCTGCAGATTTTTCGTGATCCTGTTTTTTCCAGGACTGTAAAGTTTTCAAGCAGTTTAAGTTGCATTAGGCTGAAATTTCCCCACTGGAGCTGCTAAGATAGACAGATGCTTTCCCATGGAAGTGTAATTAGCCTGGCTCCATGCACTGCAGGGGGGAATTTTGCTGCAAAGGAAGGAAAAGACTGCTGGTGTCACCTGCTCTCTTCGATCACTTCCATGTGTTTGAAACTACCTTAGACTACAAATGAACTTCTATAGTGACCTGTCCAGAAAGGCTTCTGTGATGATGTGTTGAATTTGCCTGCAATTTTGCCTGCAATTTTGCCCTGGATGTTTTTCGTCTTACTATGGCACTAGAGTTAGGAACAAAATTGCCTTAGACACCCTCAGGCATCAATTTAATGAATGTAGGAAAGAGGTTTTTGATCTTCTGTTAAAATCAGCCAATGCAGAGTATACTCCACTGCACATACTGTTTGAATGGGGGTTATGGGTGTACAAATCATGGAGAGAAATAGGATCTCAGTGGGGTAATGCAGCATCTTGGTTTGGTTTTTTTGGTTTTTTTTTTTTTTAATAGCATTACAGATCCTATATAGCCAAATTTTAGGTGCTTCTGTTAGATAGGGTTAAATGGGATGACCCGAAGCTGTTGAAGACTTCAAACTCACTGCTAGAAAATTAACAAAGGTCAACAGAGACTTTGCTTTCAGTGTTAATTTCCATGGGGTAATGTCAGATACTTTGGTGATAGGAAAGCAGAGACGTAGGGTAGCACATTAATTGCACAACCTTTTAATCTTTTTTTTAATATTTCACAGAACTTCAGTGTCTGACCATTCTGTACCTGTGACAGAGGCAAATTCTACTTCACTGCTTTCTTTATAGAAGCTCAAGATTATCTTTGGATGTGTTTGAACTATTTTGCTTGGGAAGAAGGTAAGGTAAGAACAAGGGTGATAAAGGTCCCTATACATTTCCGTTTGCTTTTAAAAGTAAATTTAATTGTCATGGATGTGTGGTTGCAATCCTGGTATAAATACCTCAAGGATAGTGTAGATGTGCCCCTGCTGTGCCTCAGCTGAACCCCAGTTTTAATTAAACTTAAATTCTACTTAGAACCAAGCATAGATGTACTCAGTTGTAGGTAGTTTCCACTCTACCAGGAGGAAGGACTCTGGCTGCATTGCATCTCAGGGCTTTACCTTGCTAATTAACCAAAATGATAAGCAGACTGTCTTTTGCTGCTTCTTGGCTCCTATTAAGATTGTATCACTTAGCATTAAAAAGACAGCCCAGACTTTATTCTGGTGGCCTGAGAGTTTGAACATGAGTGTGAGATCTGAGGGTTCATTCTGTGCTCCCTGGAAAGAAATCTGATTTCAAGCCTTGCACTCAATCCAGCCATGAAAAGTAATGTCTGATATGAAAGACTGTCACCAACGTGTTTCTTGTAAACAGTGAGACCCAAACTGACCATCAGCTCTTAGAAACTGCCACTGCAATAGTCTCTTGCTAAAACCATCCTCAGTGAGCAAAGATTGCTGGCAAGATTACGAAGGTACCAGGTATGTGTTAAGTGAAATTTAAGTCATGGCAGATTAAGATCGTGTAACTGCAAGAGAGCAAAGAGTGGCCTGGGCCATTACAGAACAGTGGACTTTGGCATCCCAGTGCTACAAAAGCTCTGCTTGTTTAGTTGCCAAGGTGGTCACTGTGAATACTTTGGAGACACAGATCTGTCATCTGTGAAACAGCCAAGCTTTAAGGATGAATGAAAGCAAATAGAAATGTTGGTTGGGGTTTCTTTTCCTATTTCTTTGCCTTTGTATTAGTGT